AAAAAAAAATATTTGCTAAGTACTTAGTTATCTCTGTATGGCTACTTTATAAATCTTAGCCAGCTCTCTGCTTAGCATGTGCCAACCTCTACACACCACAGGTGGGCATACAAAAATACAAGGCCCTGACAACTGGCTCAAGCCATCTCTCAGCTTACCTCCTATGATCACCCACCACACACTCCACCCCCTCCACAATCGTAGGAAGCTTGTGCTTTCCTATTCTCAGTCCTTTTCAAAGCCTGTCACAGCTGGGCTTGCCTTTGCTTGCTCCCATAGAACCCATCACTGTGGTGGTTGGGATTGGTTTTTCTGAAGACTGAGTTCTTAAAGGGAAAGATTAGATTTTAATCCTCTTTGTGACCCTACTGTCTCCCACTCACACCTGGTGTTCCATAAGAATTTCTGTCTGATACTTGAAGGGTGCTCCCATCTGAGCCTTGAGTCATGGGAAACATCTATTTCATTATAAGGGTGCCTGTGGAGTTTAAGAACACTGGCTGACTCTGAGGTGTAGCTCAGAGGTTGTGTGCTTTCCTAGTATGCACAAGGCCTTTGGTTTGATGCTTACCACCGAAAAGAAAAAATTGAAATAAGAACCTCAAAAAACAAAACAAGACAAACAGCATACTGGCTGTAGAGTTATTTGGACCAGCTTTTTTATAATGCACAACCTTTGCAAAGTTTATAACCCCTCTAGGCCTCAGTTCAACTCTCAAATGAGTGGGGAGGACCAAGGGCTCTCCAGAAGAACTACTGACCAATGCCATGTTTCTCCATGAGGGCGATGAGGTCGGCCTCGGTGAGCAGCTGTGGAGGGCTGGTCTCCCCATCTACCATCTCTACAGTGCTGGGTTGAAAGTGGGAGCCTTCCTCATAGACAGGGAGGAGCTACAGGGAGCAGCAGGAGTGGAGGTCAGATTGTTCTGTTGTCAAACTCAGGTCCTGCTCCCTCATCCAGCTATGGGGTGGGAGCATGACTGTTCCCCCTTTCTGGGGCCTACCTCCTTATTACCTTGTCACTCCAGCGATCATATGGATACACATCCAGGTAGTTTCGAGCTAGAATTATAAGGCCATGGGCCACAAAGCGTTCTTGAGCAATGTCAATCTCCACAGTTGTCTCCTGTCCCTGAGCATCTTGAGAGCAGCAAGCGAGGAAATGACGAACAATGAACTCATACAGTCGCCGTTCATCTCCCTGAAGAAAAGGACAAAGAGTCTAAAATTCCTTCCAGAGTAGCAACTATAAAGGACCCCAGTGCCACTGGTAGTATCAACCTGGCCAATGCCACTGTCAGCCTGAAGTTCTGCACAGAACAGGATACATGACTGTTCAAGTTCTGCATCAGCTGGGTCCTTAAGAGAGCTCATAGGGTTTGGCTGATCCACCCTACAATCTAATCAGGTTAGATGTACGTAAGAGAGTCACTGTCCTCCCTAGTATGGGAGGTATTCTTTTTTATTTTATTTGTATTTAGTACAGGGTCTACAGGCTCTCACTATGTAGATCGGACTCATAGTGATCTGCCTGTGTTCAGTCTCCCAAGTGCTGAGATTACAGGTATGTGCCACCACGCCCAGTCTGTGGAAGGTATTTTTTTGATATAAAATCAACCTACATAGAAATAAGACAAAGACATAGGATTTATAGAGTAACACTGTGTGATAGCAGTAGGCCCACTTAACTTACGTACTTAAGCAGTGACTTGTTAGGGTGAATTTCCCTCAGTGAGCTCAATCTATCAAAAGATCATGGGACATCTACCTTCATGTATTCAATAATTCCTCTTCTAAGAATTCATTCAAAGGAAATTAACCACACAAATGTTATTTTATTTTTTTGGCAGAACCAGGGATTGACCGCAGGCCCTTGCGCACAAGTGCTTATTCTACTGAGCCATCTCCCCAGCCCCATAAATGCTGTTAACTACAGTATATCACATATTAAAAAGTTATAAACAGCCAGGTATGGTAGGGCATGCCTATAATCCTACCACTTGGGAGACTGAGGCAGGAAGACTGACTTAAGCTCGAGGCCAGCTTGGGTTATACAAGTTAAGGACAACCTAAACAACATAGTGAGACCCTATCCCAAAAACTCAGGGGGAAAACAAACTTGGCAAAATTTTTGCTAATACTGGGAAAATCCAGAGTTAGGAATGCCTTCACAGTTATAGCCCTAACACCCCCCACCCCCTAAATCAAGACAGGATCTCACTCAGTTACTAAATTGCTTAGGCTGAGTTCTAACTGCCACAAACTCCCAAAGCATTGGGCTTACAGGTGTGTGCCACCATACCTGGTGTTACCGTATTTTTACATATAGAGACAAATGGGGAAATACCAAAACATAGTATTAAAATTTTTTT